AATTATAAATAGTAATAATTATCAATCATTAGATGTTGTCTGTTAATTATCAATTTCATTTGCATCACTAATCCAAACACCCCTTAACTTGTGCACAAACCTATAAAATAAAATACTAAAATAAACAAAAATAATATAGTTATACTGTCATAAAATATTATAAATTTATAATGTAAAATATTTTTATATAATTGAATTTTTTCACTTAAGATCCACATGTAATACTTTATATATGTATTTATCTAATGACATCTCACACTAATTTAATGAAATATCATGATTATAATTTTATAATTTTAAATAATATTATAATTATAATATTATTAATAAATGAATAAATGCATAAAATATCATAATAACTAATGGGGGTTTCTAACTTATCTTAAGGGGCACATGTTAAGATATAATTTTTATATTTTTATACATTACATGCAATTAATTTATTTAATTGATTGTTCAATTCACATAGCATTAATGATGAATTTAATATCAATTTTTTTAATTTATTTTAGATTATATAATAAAAAGCAATTATCTCTTATTTCTTAACCTACCTATTTGTATTCGTATGTTATACGATTCAAATTTAAAATTTTTTATTTTTATTAAAAAATTACTGTTAAATTATTTAAGTTGTTAACAAATCAATATGAATTTTTATTTAATATCAATCAATTAATATAAACAGTACAATAATTACATTACTAAGATTAAAAGATCCATAGCAAATAAAGTAAAAAGAGTTTATTATTAAACAATAATAAAATTTAAAAAAAGCATGTCTTAGTTCTTATTTTAAAAAAATTAAAATTTTAATTTTAAACATATCATTTTATTTAATTAAAATTTAATTAATTAAATAAAATGTTTCATTTAAAATTGTACGTGCTAAATTTTTTTAAGAATTGATACGGAAGCACACTAATTTTTTAGGATTACATTAAAAAATTATGGAATAAATATTCTCTTTTAATTATTTTTCAATTTAACCATTTTAGTACTTGTCGGGACCCATTATTCCTTTTCGTTTCCTCGCGCCTTCTGCCGATTTGGAAAGTTCCATGCTCAGTTGTGAATTTTAATTTGACAAAGAATTTATTGTGCATGATATTATACAATATAATATTAAATAAATTGATATATTTAACTATACGTGCAGATCATAAATGAAAAGATTTAATAACAAAATGATTCGTTTTATTGTGGATAAATATTATACTTAAATCATTTTATGCTTAGCCATTTTTCTTTTTTGTAGCGATATTATACTAAAAATATAAACTTAGATTAACCACAATCATTTAGGCTGAATGTAAATATTTGGTTTATTAGCATAAAAAATGGTTTATTAACTACTTATCTGCTATTACTTTAATATTTGATGTTTATTTTTTAAAAATTAACATAGTATAAACTTCAAAAAAATTATTATTAAATGATTTATTGATCAAAATTCTATAGTGACTCTAACGAAATTTCAAGTCATAATCACGTGGCACCATGTGGGCTCCAAGTGCCCAAGAAAATTAGAAAGAATAATTAGAAGGAGATTAAATATATTCTAACAATTAAAATGTCAAAAATAATAATAATAAGACTAAAATATTTTTAATAAATTAATATATAAAAAATATTAAAGATATTTAAACAATTTCATAAAAAAAAACCTTAATATTTAAAGTGTTAGAATATTTTAATTTTTACTTTCCTCAATTAGAAGTTAGAAGATATATTATCAATTTGTTGATATGAGGGAAAAAAAAAAGTTAAAGAAGTAACAGACCAGAGGTTGATGATGAATTAACATAAATTCCCTTCATTTAACAATAATAATTTAACTTTGAAATTTTAAGACAAAAGTTTAGTTAAAAATTCAATAATAATAATAATTAATAATACAAAAAAGTAAAAGTTAAAATGTCTTGATATTAAAATCATCATGATATTTAATCCTAATCACAACTTAATTTGGGTTTATTTATGCTTTACTGCTCATTATCTGATTTTGATTAAACATTTAAATATTTTTAACAATAAAATATCTTAAATTTTTGTATCCTCTTAATAATAGTAAGTATTTCAAGAAGTTCAAGTAATCCAAATGATCACCTAAATATTGTTAAAAATATGTCATCTTAGGAGGGTGTGGATTCAATTCCAACCCTTCCCCTCCCCTTAATTGCCCATGTTCTAAAAATAATAATAATAATAATAATAATAATAAGTATTGCTAGCCTAGACAAATTTTAAAAAAAATTAATAAAATAAAAAACACGTTTAATCTGAACTAGAAATAACATTTTTTTATTTTAATCAACGAGAGAGAAAAGAGAAGCAATATGAAAGCAACCCTTAAACTAAGGAGTAAGGAAAACAAAGCAATATGAAAGCGAAAAAGGCCACAATTTGAACATTGACAAATGCCTCAACTTCTTTGATGTTTGACTGCCACTAGATGATGCCTCTTGTAAACAACAATAAACTAAGATGTCCCCACAATTCGTTCAATGCAGGGTGAGCAAGAATGACGACAAAATAAACCATATTAACTGGAAAAAGCTGTCTTTGAGCCTGTGTTTTGACCTTCTTGCACATGGGGCTTAAGCAAACTTTTTCACCTACAAACAATATCCTTTCTTAACAGGTACGAATTCGGAGAGAGAGCTTTGAACCAGCACGGTTGGAAGTACACTTTCCTTAAGATTTATAATTAATTAGCCTTTTGGACGAGGTAGTGGCTTATTAACAATTAATGTACGTAATTTCCTATGAGTGCTCTGTTTTTATGATGAATTTCATCACAAAACAGGAATTAATGGATAAGGATAAAATCTTAATATTAAGTGTGTTCCCTCATTTGATAATTTAAATTTTATAAATAGATGTAATTTAAATTATATAATATTTTTTTATTACCTATATTTGTTTTTTTTTTTAAATCTGTCATTTTTTTTGCATTTTTTTTGCCGGCAACGTTATGTTCTGCTGACCAACTATTAATCTTTCATCCCTCAATGAATGTAGGTAGAGGCCGAATTAGGAAATTTATTTTGTGGGATCATGGGAGTGTAAGACATTAGAAATTAGGGAGTCAAGTGAAAATGAGGGACAAAATTGAAACTATAAAATTATTATGGTCCGTGGCTAATGGCTACCCTCCCCCAACTAGCCATGACCCTTGCTTATCTGCCCCTGATTATTAACTTATGAAAATTGATTGGACAGAAAACTAGAAACCATCCAAATGGTTATTTCCACTAATGTCAAAAAATCATTTCAAGAAGTCTTTAAATTCAGGCAAAGAAATTGTAATTTTACTGGACTTTTCAATTTTATTTAACGAAATAAACATTTTCTTTAAATTCAGACGAAGAAAGAACCATATGTATCTTGTAATTTCCTATGAAGTCTCCTCTTGGTGATGCTAGCGTGGCATTACATATTGAAAACTTTATTTAACAATGCAAAATGTATAGAATTATAAAATAAACCCATGATGGTAGAATCATTCATCTAATAATTTATTATTTTATAATTTAATATATATATATTTTTTACAATAGAAACTTGATTAGTCTAATTGTGTTAGTATCTATTAGCAAGCATGAGGGCTCGAACTCAGGACAAAGAATGATCTCCACCTGCTTCTTGTTGAGGAGCGTTGCCCAACCAGTGGATCGCATGGGAAAAATCATAATTTAATATAATTTAGATTATAAAATATTAAACTCATTTTAAATATAGTTTCTTTTTACCGGTCCTTAATAATAATTTTGATGAAACCGCTTATCACGCCTTAATTCGTGCCACTCGAATGATCAGAATCCCAATTGAAATTGTAACTTCGAACAAAAATTATTTAAAAAGAGAAGGCAAATGGTAGTGGGTAGGATCGGTAGTAGCTTGAAAGAAAAACAAGAGCAAGACGTAGACAATATTACTTGGATTTCATTAAATTAATCGAGGACGTAGCTTATTTGCAAAGCCAAAGAGGTCTGGATGGATTCTCTCTATAAATAAGATAAAGTAGCAATAGGATGCATCGATCCTGCTAAGAGGAACACAAAAGTATTGTAATTGGGTAAGGAGAATTACAATATGGATAGCCCTTTTTTTTTTTTTCTTAATCATAAGAACCCACATTGTCCTAGCTAACGGTCGAATCTACCAGCCACTTCCAATTGTAAACTTTTTTTTTTAAAAGAAAGAAAGAAAGAAAGAAAGAAAGAAAGTGTAATTAAAGAGATTTTTGGACTGTGTTCGGAATTGTTATAAAACATTGAGGTTGTAATTTTTTTTAACATTTTGTTATAAAAAAATTATTATTATTTTATAATTATTTTGAAAAAAAATTTATATATTAATATGATTATTGAATTATATAAAATTTTAATTAAAATTAAATTAATTTTTTTAAAGTGTTGTGAGAAAGTAAGCAGACACAACCAATATCAAATGCAGTTTCTGGGTTCACATGATTTGGGTCTTTTTTCAGTGACCTGAATTTGGACTAGGCATATATGGGATGGGTTTGGTATTTGGTTGGTTGAAGTCAGGCCCATTGTTTCAGCCTCACTTGCAGAAGGTCCAAAAATTGGCAATTGCTAGAAGTATGGGTGAGGATGGGGTACAAACACATCCGCTGTTTTGTAAGTATTTTATTTATTGAGATAAATATTACATTTAAATGAAAAAAGTTGTAATGAATGTAAAAATAGTTATAAGTATCAAGTTCATTAATAAATATAAGAGTTTAAAATTATTTACATAATTTGTTTAATCAATTTATTTAATTGACATGTTACATGTATTTATATAATTCAAATTTTATTTGTATTTGTTATATTTTATATTTATGTAATAACAATAATAATTTTTTAAAATGAAAATAATAAAATACAAAAATAAACTCTAAACCAAAAAAATGGCACATAGCAATAGTAATTCGTCAATGTAACAAGCCGTAAGCCAAACACATAACACATAACACATAACAATAACAACTCATGTCTCTTTTTTTCCTACCCTAAGTACACAAGTATATAATCACAAATTACTTAATACTTATTAATCACAAATTACTTAATACTTATTGGGTTAAGTGTCAAATATAAAATTTTAAGTATTTAAATAAATATTAAATCTAAAAAATTATACTTAAAATTTTACAAATCAAATATCAAATATAATTCATGCCCAAGCAGTGCTCAAAATGCTCACCCCTCCTAGGAAGAGAACTTAAGGCTCTGATTGGTTGGTTGAAAATCACGAGCATCATACACCAGGAAAGTTTGTTGGAGGCTTTGATTGTTAGTCAACAAATTATTTGCGACTATTGAGATCTGAGTGTTAACCAACAGATTAGCTCCGCATAAAAGACAGATTGAAACAATATAAAATGGTGGACTTCCAATTTTACTAATAATATATATGGTTCAAGGAAAAAAGGGAGAGAAAGAATTTTTTAAGTAATTAAATTATAATATTTTAAAATATTATAAATTGATTAATAAAATAATTCTCTCATTTCTTCTAATCAAATATACTATAAATATGGTACTCAGGTCAGCCAATCACATAAATGTTTTGGTTAAATAAAATTATTAATCAAACCAAACTTACCCTAAGTTTTGTAACATTCCAAAAGCTGAAAACGTATGAGCGAAGACACAACTTCGATATTCCATCTCTAACATGCTAATTCTCGAAATTATAGGTCGCAAGCCGCATTAAGGATCAATGTTCCCAGAAGCTTCGACTATTTGAGAAAGCAGTGTACTTGCAGGAGAAAGAATAAAGTTGGTTTGTTTTCCCTGCGTGTTATCGCATTGTGGGGCTGGGGACAGAGGCTCTTGGTTCTGAGGAGGGGTCAATGGATGGAACAAGTTATGTGTTGAATATAATAAATCAATGATAAAATCAACAAAGAAGACCAAAATTGACATTAACTTAGGGAACAGCAGGAATGGCAGAAGGGCATGCTATAATTGAAGGCTTATAATATACTTAATCAAATTAAGAATAATTAACAAATCATTTGTCCCCATAATACAAATATGTGCATGTAAAAATTAAAAAAATTTATAGAGATTTCACATGCATATAATTCTTTAAAATTCATACACAATGCCTTAATTCTATCTCTTAAAAAGGCGATGACTTCTCCTCCCATTATTTTTTATTGTTTTTCTTGTGGAAAATAGGGATACCATATTGACAAATTAATAGGTCTTATATAAGGTTTTATAATTAAATTAGAATTCTAATAACATGTTGTGTGTGACTTTTTTGGAATCTTAATATCAAGGCAAATTGAATTCAAATCAGTCTAAACTCATCAATTGACAACAATCTCATCCAAGAAATTATAGATAAAGTTGTGAGATACTTTAAATTACAATATTTGCCTAATAGTTTTTCACCGGTTAATATTTCATACAAAATCTAATCGAATTAAACTTCTTATAAAACTATCATCCAAAACTTGTACGTGTGTTTCTTAAATATATTTAAACAATTAAAACAATTTAGAAAATATATTTTGATAAAATTTAAATTTCTAAAACTAAGTTTAAAAAATATTTTTCTAAATTG